TTTTTTACTCCTAATTTTTTAAAAGTAAAACAGACAATTATTAATTTCTTTTTGTATTGTCATGTAGTATATTTTTGCCGCGTTTTAACGCGCGTTACAACGCGGGTTTCATTTAATAGTCTGTGGGGTCGGTCGACTGCCCGTGCTGTTGAGAAGGCGGAGAATTAAACCTTAACTTATCTTTTGGGCGTATAAATTCCTGCCGAATTGAATAATCTAAGGCCTCAAAAAATTAAAAGAGGCAGAGCGAAGCAACAGAGTCCACAGATATGGAGGGAGCCATTGGGCGGATGGAGGCGGCGGCAGCACGGATGAGGGCAGAAACCATACGCATGAGAGAGGAAGTGGAGGAAAAGAAAGCTGCCGCTGAAGAGATGAAGAATGAGCTGGAATTGGAGAAGACGAAACTCCTTGCTGAACTGCTGCTTCTGCAAGAAGCAGAGCGGACCCTCATGGAGATTCTGTTCCCGCCCAACTAATAAGACCACGAGATCGAATTCATATGTGCCTTTCATGTTTGGTTCAACCATCTCGTTGTTTGTTAATTTTATATTTACTCTCTTCTTATCTCATTTGTTAGGAAGTAAATCATGTAACAGTAGTCATTGATCTAGTGAGCCAAACAGGGTAACCTTTGCAGTTCTGTCCAAAGAAAAACAGGGCAACGTTAACCTACAATTTGGTTGCGTTTACAACTTCCGTTATGTCATAATCAAAATTTGCTTTTTTGAATGTGTTTTTCTATCTTGTGCAGCATTTGATTAAGGGTTTGTTTGGATAAAAGTTAGTAAATGGAAGGAAAGGCAGGAGAAGGGAGGAAATGAAGGAAGAGTAAAGGGAAGCCTAATGTTAATTTTATTTGGATCGATAAAAGTTAACAAAATGGAGAGGTAATATTTTTATTTAATTAAATAATTTTTTAAAAAGTAAAATAAAGTAAAATAAAAATTTTAAAAACTAATTTTTATTAAATATATTCATATATTTATTTTTAAAAAAAATTTTGAAATAAATATATGAAATCAATTAATTCAAATCCTTCCAATTCAAAAGATTTGAAAATGGAGGAGTGGAAGAAGTCACATTTCTTTCTATCTTCTTTTCCCTTCTTTAAAATCAGTAATTCAAATACATAAGATGACATCTCTCCCTTTGTCTCTCTCCCTTTCCCCTTCAACTTCTCCCATCCAAATTAAGGGTAAGTCCCACAAATTAAAAGTTTAAAAAATCTTTAAAATTTGAAAGAAACCCAACGGTAATCACCGCTCAGGCGCTATCGTCTCCATTCCCCCACTCTTTTGCAGTTTCCCCTCACTGTAACTTGACTACAAATTAAAAAAATTTATCCATGTTCAAACCTTAAATTCGTGTGTACTAAATAAGAGAGAGAAGGAAATGGTAAATGTTAATGCGCAATTTTATCTTCCCTTCTATAGTTGTTCAACCACAAAGTTCTTTAATCCTACTAGCTGCTTCCAATCTCTCCGAGAAACAGAAATCAATCTCTGAATTTCACCATCTGATCGGAATTTTACTTCCTTCACGGATGGTTTGCGTAATTGCGTTGGTTTCTTATCGCGCGGAGCTCGTGAACTGTCCCTGCTCCTGGCCTTCGCCGCCGCAGTCTCTGGCAGATAATTTCTTATCCAGGGCGGCACAATTTTCCCTGAAGTGAAACCTGTTTGGTTGAACTTTTTCAGGGTTTGTGCGAGTTGCAGATAGAGAAGAGTGTAAAGAGAGAAGGAAGAACAGAGACTGGGAGGCGGGAGTGACGGCTGAGATTTTTTATTTATCTAATTTTTAGAAAAAAGAAATAAACAAGGGTTATTTTAGTCGAGAAAGGAAAGAATCACTCCTTAAAAATGTACTAGTAAAATAATATACTCAATGCAATATTCTGAATTTTTTTGATTTGATTTTGCAATATTCATTTTTTCTCTCATATTTTATAAATATATTAATTTATAAATATTAAATTACTATTTTATATAATTTTATTATCATACTAACTCATAATATTATTTTAAAAATTATTAAATAATAATGTAATTTTTTTCATAAATAAATAAATAAATTTATTTACAATTATGATGGTTCTTCGGAACAATTCCAAACCTAATTCAAATTCTATTCAGTTACTTCCAGGCCTTACAGGGCCTTGGAATCAGCCGCGTTTCCTTTCATCCACATACTTTGGGGCCACAGCACATGCTTTTTCCTTGCATGTGATGATACTGAAATTTCCTCTT